TCTGCTTACGTCTCATTAATGTCGTTGTGGTAAGTCCACAAAATCCACACAGTTGACGAAGACATTCGAGATGGACGGTTTCTTAATTAAGAAACTTGACCGTGGATGGAGTCGCGGAAGTATCGAGGCAGTGACAACTTGACGTTTCGCCGTCGCCGAGCGTCTCGCCGCACGAATATAAATTTCTTCATTATCCAGTGATTAGTTCGCCAAGGAATGCACAAGACGCTTCCTAGGTCGGCAGGCAACCCTTCAGATATTATCCTCAAAATAATAAGCGTTGTTGGATATAGCTTTCTTAAGCGGAGGCGTATTTAGATCGTCGAAAATAGGAGCAGTACACATCACGTCCTATAATTAGCGAGAAAAGAAAAAATTCTTTGATAAATCTTTAAAAACAAGCTTTCTTTTTGCAAGAAATTATAATAAAGTATTACCATTTATAACGACTTTTCTCCCCACTCTTTTCTCAAGGTATCAACTCCGCTTAACACTATTTTCGCTTCGAAACATAAGATTCTTTGCCCCGATTAGTTCATCAAAGTGAAAATAGCGTCGAACGAAATGCATCCTCAATTTCAAGCGATATTTCTTTTCTCTCTCTCTCTCTCTCTCTCGGATGTATAAATATATATAATTATATAAAATATGTCCATATGTTTTTTTTTTCTTTATATAATCTCTGTTCGTATATACAAAAAAAATAATAAAAAGAATAATTGAAAAATAATTAGAAAGATAATTTTCACATAGTTATTTTTAGAAAAAGTAAACTTTGAAGAAATGAAAAAAAAAATTGCTCATATATAATTACAGGGCCAATTCTTTCTTTTTATACATATATTTATATGTATAGCTAATTTTGTCTCATTTCTTAAAACTTCACTTTTTATAAAAAAAACCATGCGATAATTATTTTTCTAATTGTTTTTCGATTATTATTATATTTTCTGTATATATAGACAGAGATTATATAAGAGAAAGAAAATATATAAACATATTTTATATTTAATGGCATATATTTATATTTGATTATATAATATATATGGACTTTTTTCTCGGGAAATATATTACATAATACATTAATAAATTATTATTATGCTTATAGATTAATATTGCATTTTACTCACATTCTTCAAAAATTCCATATTGCGTTTACATTCTAATTCAAGAATTACATATTTAGAAAAGAAATTTGGCGCCGGTAAACTTACAAGATTATTCAATATCAATAAAATCGTCTCTCTCTCTCTTATATAAGAATCTTTACCGAATATAAAGTCTGCTTACGTCTCATTAATGTCGTTGTGGTAAGTCCACAAAATCCACACAGTTGACGAAGACATTCGAGATGGACGGTTTCTTAATTAAGAAACTTGACCGTGGATGGAGTCGCGGAAGTATCGAGGCAGTGACAACTTGACGTTTCGCCGTCGCCGAGCGTCTCGCCGCACGAATATAAATTTCTTCATTATCCAGTGATTAGTTCGCCAAGGAATGCACAAGACGCTTCCTAGGTCGGCAGGCAACCCTTCAGATATTATCCTCAAAATAATAAGCGTTGTTGGATATAGCTTTCTTAAGCGGAGGCGTATTTAGATCGTCGAAAATAGGAGCAGTACACATCACGTCCTATAATTAGCGAGAAAAGAAAAAATTCTTTGATAAATCTTTAAAAACAAGCTTTCTTTTTGCAAGAAATTATAATAAAGTATTACCATTTATAACGACTTTTCTCCCCACTCTTTTCTCAAGGTATCAACTCCGCTTAACACTATTTTCGCTTCGAAGCATAAGATTCTTTGCCCCGATTAGTCCATCAAAGTGAAAATAGCGTCGAACGAAATGCATCCCCAATTTCAAGCGATATTTCTTTTCTCTCTCTCTCTCTCTCTCTCGGATGTAGAATTAGACTATAATTAATACAGAAAGTTGTCTATTTAACGCGCGTTTTATTATCAAAGTTAGACCTTTTTGTAGATTTTTCTGCTTTCTGTACAACTCCGCTTAACACTATTTTCGCTTCGAAACATAAGATTCTTTGCCCCGATTAGTTCATCAAAGTGAAAATAGCGTCGAACGAAATGCATCCTCAATTTCAAGCGATATTTCTTTTCTCTCTCTCTCTCTCTCTCTCTCTCTCGGATGTAGAATTAGACTATAATTAATACAGAAAGTTGTCTATTTAACACGCGTTTTATTATCAAAGTTAGACCTTTTTGTAGATTTTTCTGCTTTCTGTACTTTTACATGCATTTACTTTTATTTATATTCGATTATGTATACTTTTCTACAACCAAAAAAAAGAAGCCGATTCTGGGTTTGTCGAAGCATCCATATCTTTGATTCATAACACCTTTTTGTCTTGTTCTACAAAATACATGGATTAATTAATATATGTTTACCTTCAAAACGTTCCAAACAGATGTTGCAATAAACACAATGATGAATAAAGTATCAGCGTATATATCATCTCGAAGAGAAGACTGAAAGCGCACGCAGTCATCCCGCCAGTTTTCCGTTACGAAATGCTTGCACCAAGCCTTGCACTGCCATCTGCGTCCGTTTTAGAGACTACGTAGCGAATCTATTTTTCACTGCCGGTAAAATCATTGATTTTGTTATATATGTTCGTACTACATTTATATAGATTACGAATTAAAAATACATACAGTTTGTGAATTTAATTGTCTATTTCATTAACTGAGCGTGATTATTTTTATTTTAACATTATTGGGACAGACGTCTTGAAGTTTTTCTCTGGTCGAATATAAGCATCAGGTGTTTTATCAACTGATATTATGCATTGTACAATTATGTTAGTGCTGCCATCTCTGGATGGATGTTAAGAAATGTCTCGAATGTAATCTTAGCTTATTCCACTTGCATAGGTTTACACGTGTTTGATATAAGTGTGTATTGACAAGTACAAATTGTAATATAACTTTGCGTTAGATTACAGAGAAACAAAATGCAACACGACGATGTAAATAAAACTCTAAATAGGTTTTCTTTTTTTTATATGTCTGTTATATGATCACCCTAAAAATTTTTATCTTAATCTTGCAGGTTGTGTGGAGTGTCATCAATAAAGCATTTTGTTCCTTTAAAGTAAAGTAAGTATGTGTTCTTAAGAAATAATTGAATATATAATAAAACCGCGCGAAGCAACCTATAATGAATTATAATTGTGACATTTCCTTTGCAGTACAAAGACACAGAGGTTTTGCAGAAATGAGTACAATCTTACAGGTTTATGCAGTAGATCTGCATGCCCCCTTGCAAACAGTCAGTATGCTACGATTAGAGAGGAAAAGGGTATTATTTATCTCTATATGAGAACAGCGGAGAGGTAGGTTGTATATATTTGAATCTTTCATCCTATATATTTGTATAACATTGTTATTATTCTTCATAAGTTATATGAATTATTTGATAACAAAAATTATAAATTATTGAAATGCCATCAATAGATCTATGCTCCATTTCAATATGAAGATAATTGCAGCATTGTTTACTTTCATTTATATATATTTTTATATATATAAATATTATAATTTTTTTATTAGAATACATACACCTAAAAATAGCTGGGAAAAAGTCAAGCTATCCAGAAACTTTGAGAAGGCAATACAACAAATTAATGAAAATCTGCTATATTGGCCTGGTTTCATAAAGGCAAAATGTAAGCAAAGATTTCTCAAGATCACGCAATATCTCATTCGTATGAGAAAATTCAGATTAAGACGACAAAAGAAGATTGTACCGCTTCAAAGAAAGATTGAAAGAAGAGAAAGACGTAGGGAAGAAAAGGCTTTGATCGCTGCGAGATTAGAAAATGCAATTGAGAAACAACTTATGGACAGACTGAAGAAGGGAATGGTAATGTTATATTTTATATTTGTCACCATAAGAAATTAGTTATATTTCGGAGATATAATTTTTGTTGTTGATGTTTCAGTACAAGGGTATTTACAATTTTCCGCAAGAAGTGTTTGATAAAGCTGTGGAAGCTGTGGAAGTTGAAGGAGAAAGCGAAGCAGAAAACGAACGGGATGAGGAACAGGAGCAAGAGCTCGAAAAAGAGGTGGAAATGGAATTAGAAACGGATGAAAGGGAATTTGAGCAAGATGGTCAGCAATATATTGAAGCTGATAGCGATGACGATGACTACGAGGATGATGATGAAGAGCCTTTTATGGTATATAATAAAATAATTATTTATTTTAAAATAAAAACAACTTTTTTTTACACATATTTTATATTGTGTAGAATGAAGATAGTGATTCTGGACAGAAGGAAGAAGTGGAATTATCGGACAGTTTTGAATCTGAAGCCAGTGATATTGAGGTAAGAACTTTCTATCTCCAAATAAGCTTATTATATCGTATATTCTGCTACAAATTGCTCATATCACATTAGGACTTACTCAAACCATCCACAAGCAAGAAAACAAAAGTGCCGAAAGTTGTCAAAAAAGGAAAGGTACAGAAAAAATCGCGACCAAAAGTAGAAATCGAGTACGAAGTGGAAGAGGACAATCTACAAAGACAACGAGCGTAGCAAAGTTATGTAAATATTATAATTGTGTGTTTATAATAAAATTATTCGAACATTTACATATGGTTGAAATAACGTAATAATTACCATTATGATCGCTAATTCGATGGTATTTAAATCTTCAATATTTTAGTGTAAGTTTCGCTCGCGTATTTAGATAATATCAAAAGTAGAAAAAAATTATATATATATGTGTGTATGCACGTGTGTATTACATGCAATATATCGTTTTAAAAATTCCGCCCACAATGCGAGCGTGCGGAAGCGCCGAACGGAAGAAGCGCGAAAACTCTCGATACATAAACGCGAATGGTATATATATATATATATATACATATATATATACATTCATCTCGTAATCTCGTCGGAGGAGAATCGAGACGTCTGTGTAGCAGACGATACGATTAATCGTGACATGAAAGAAAGGTAAATTACGCACGGTCGTTTATCGCGGCTGACGATCCTAAAATCCGAAACGGGGACGTTTCTCGCCACTTGTGCTCGCACGCTTATCGTTCTTAATCGGAAATCGCGATTGTGATTCATTAGCGGGGCGTTAATCTGCAGTGCTTCGGCATTGCGCATTCGTCAAGATTGTCACGCACGTTGACATTTGCTTTCCGCCGTTCAACGATATCGGCCCTTTAGCGTATCAGATAAAAAAACGCGAAAGCTAAAAAAAAATGGTGAATCGTTCGCGATAAAATGTGACCGCGAACCGCCGTGATTTCATCCCTTCGCTATTTATAGAGCGCGAGTAGGTTATTCGGAAAATACTCCATCGCAAGAATGAAAATAATAACATCGGATAATGACGTATGATACAATGAATAACACGGAATGAACGTCTCAAATTAATATATGTATGTGCTATTATTAATGTGTAATATATTCAACGCCTGTTATATGTGACGTAATTTTATTCTGCGGAAATGTTTTCGATGAGATGTTGGAAAATGAAATGCACGCTGTCGTTGCGCGTTAATCTATTAAGAAAGATGATTAGCCTTGATTTTCGCGTTTTTCCACGCTTTTATTGAGCAATTAACGTAACAAAGCAGAGGCGAGGTATATGGCCATCAATGCATTAATTGAACGGATTTATTTTTATCGAGCAAATTTCGCAATGCTCTTCCGTTCTCTTTTCTCGTAGAACGTATCGTTCAATCCGCAATTAGATCTCACATCTTCGCGAACACACAAGTGTCAATTCCTTTGGAAACGAACACCTTCATCGCAATATTTCATTAATGAGCAATTTTGGGGTATCAGCTGTTGGATGGAGCAATCTGTGATTTCTTTCCATCAGGGTTATTATGGCATGTAAAGTAATGTGAAGGATCATAGAATAAGTTGAAAGCTGGAGAGCGATATGAATCTATGCCGCACAATTGTCTGACTGAGCTCTGCTCTGAGTTACGTGTCTTTGCTTTGCGCACAAATGTCAGGATGTTAAACAGCACTACTAATATGGAACTGAATAATGTGGGAAGCAACAAAAGTTCCATATATCTTGCGCTATCATTTCGAAAACTGTGTCTGGCAACAGTTGGCTTACCACTTATATCGCTGTTATTTTGTTTCATCACGGCATACATATTCCAACAGGATGACATTCATGAAACTCACTGTAGGGTAAGCGCAAAATTTTATATCATATATAAGATAATAAATAAGTAATGTATGTTTATCAAATTATGATAATCATATCTGTTTCTTTGTTAAAGGTGTACAATATTCTTCCATCAATCTCAGCCATTACAGGCGTATCTCCTCAGAGGTATCTATGGCGTATCAGCATAGCATTACACATTGGACCTAGACTGGTTATTGCCAGCGTTTATCATTCATATTATTACAACATACTTAAGAGCATTGAAGATGTGCCTCTAAAAATTATGGGGAGTAGGCTCCTAAATTTATGCTATTGGCTAAATATTGCCGAGGTAGCAGCTTTATGTGGTGTAACATATATTTCTAACAGGGAAAATTATTGTAAGTAATTTATATAAAATTTTATATGTCTGTCACTAATATAATCAAAGTGTGAAACATGATGAAAATATTATATATGACAAAAAATATTACAGCGGTGCACGAAAAAATTTTCATAGCGTTCATGATTAGTTCGCTCACGTACATGCTGACTGCTGTAAGATTGGGTCGCCTAATAACTCCAAATGCACAAAGCCTTCAGTACAAACAGGCGCTCTTTATGATGAGTCTCGTCAGTACAATTGGTCTTATTATCTTCTTCTTGAAACATCGACTGCTATGTCACGATTTGGGTAAGAAATAAAATCATAAATATTATGTTTAACTTAACAAAAGCAAAAAATAAACACAACTTAATATTTATTATTTTGAGCAGCATTTAGTTGGTTCTCGCTATGTGAGTATGTGATAGCTTTTGCAAATATGGGTTTTCACATCACGGTGGTTTTGGATTTTCCAAAAGAGCAACTGATTGTAGGTCACGATTTACCTGCCGCGAAAATAGATTAACCTTTTAGGATAATACATCATTCTCATTGTCATATTAAAGTGCCTATTGCCTCTGCATGGAAGTGCTGTAAATCATGGTTCTCAAGAGGTGAACATTTGGCACAATACACGATACACAGCATCATGATTATCTCAGTTTTATGATATTTTATAAAAGTATAATGTGTTCTATTGTTGAGATTGATATAATTTACTTTCCGCGGTTTTTAAAAGAGCAAATACTCGATGTATGTACTCTATTATACTTATCTTTACACTTATATTATCTTGCAATATCGATTATAATATTCGATTAGTACTTTTGTGAATATAAAGGGATATCTGATTTGTGAGAAAAATGAAATGGAAAATCTAGCGCTTCCAAAGTGTGGCACTGGTTACTTTCAAAACGATGAAATATGTAACGGCCTTTTAATATCGGTTAGCAATAGAGTATATGATTATAGTACACAATAGTTAAAAAAGTATCCTACATACAAACAGCATTTAACGTTAGTGTAAATTGAATATTATTATGCATCATATGAGATTACTTCTAAAGATTTTTGAATCTTTTTTTATAGACTTTTACAAGGTGAGAATTCTAGTCAAACATATTAATTCTAGTCGCGATACATTTTATTCGCTTTACACTATTCTTACTTCATGTCATTAGCTGAAATTAGATTGTAAAATGCAGTTACATCAAATGGACTTTGAGATATAATTACAATTATTAAATATGTGTATATATTAAGTTATTGCAAAGATATAGATATACAATTGTGTGTTGTTGGTAAATTTCATAGAAATCTTATATAAGTTACATTCATTCACCTTGTAAGAGAGATTAATTAATCTTGTATAGATTTTGAGATAATAAAATCAGCTAATGTTCATGAGCTGTTCTGTTCAGCATTATTGTACTGCAAACGTAGGATAATCGCACCTATGTTTGTATGTAGTATACGATAATCCTGATAGTATAACAATTATCCAGATACTAATGATTAAAACAGTCGCAATCGTATTAAAATATTTAAACGGGGATTGCATTCGGACCAGCTTTTTCAAGAGATATGATCTAAATTTCTCACGCGAATTTATAAAACAATGTTAAAAACAAAAGTTTCTACGAAATTTTACGATTAAAACCCCCGTATATCTCTTGTCTAAACCATAGATGTATGTATGTGTATACGGTTTTCGGACAAGATTATATAAAACTTTAAGCTTTAACAATTTTTAATCATCAGAAATGATTTATGGCTAAATATTGTCGAATATCTTGGTTGATTAAAAATTGAGTCTTCGATGATTTGTTATTTCGAAATCGAGTATAATTACGAATAACGAATATTCGTAGTAAATCGGATCTTATTGCAGTTTTCGACGAAGCGAGATGCCCGGTAAAACTTTACAAAGAAACTCATAAGTAAAATTTGTTATTTAAAGTGTTATTAGAAATTATGCAGTAGAATTTTGTAAAGTGATTTCCGGAAATCTTGTCCATGTCCTGTCAAAAAAAAAAAAAAAAAAAATTACACGAAATGTCGAAATAAAGTTTCATACATGCGAGAATAGGATCGCGGAATCTGTAAAGAGAAGGACAGCCAAGTCTGTAATATTCACAGAATTTGCGCCAAATATCTCTTGATACTTGTATCAATAAGCAAAGTAGCGTTTATTACTGTGTATTTATAATAAGCAGATGATATGTTAACGCGATATCTCTTAGGATTCGTTATAAAGGCCGATAGTTTCAATGTGACTCTAGATAGCACTCGCAGTTTAACGGTATCATTTTTGCACATTTTTACACACGAACGTTACAATTGTAGCATATTTTGATATGACGAATTTTTGTTGAGGTTCCTCGTATGTAATGATTTGATGAAAGAAAAAAAAAGGAGAAAACGAACGCTATATATTCTTCGCAGATACACGATACATTTGTCATCGGTAATCGCGTAGAGATGATAGTTTTAGATAGTCTTTGTAATTATTATACGAAGAAGTAACGCTTTTTCTTATTTTTCTGCACACGCGACGGACATGATATGTTCGATAATCCGAGCGTAACATCTTGACGGTTCCTATTATACGTGGAACCATTTTTATACATTATCATAATGTAATTAATGCACTCACAGTAGTCTTGTTTGACTCATTCTTATTGATACCGTTATCGAATGCTAATCTGTGCCAAGTGATGCACTAAAGATATCGTCGAATTTTACGTCGGAAATGCTGCGCACATTAATAATGATCTTCAAAGATCTTTAATGAATCACTTGTATTTACGCTTCGTTGAGCAGCCACTTTGTGATCACTGCTCTTTATATACACTTGTAGCAATAATTGAGAATCTTTTCTGCATCATGTCTTTTATTCCGATAAAGAAACAAGAATTAAAGAACATCAATATGATTGGATTGCTTATAGTGGAACGTATTCATCTTAATAGGCCATGAGCTTACGTTAGCATTGTCGGAGTATATATATAAGTACATCAAAAATTGCGCATTTTTTCTTATAAATCGCCCAACAAATTTTTAAAATCAATTTTATTTCTCAAATATTTAACTAACTTGCGACATAAGCTATCTATCTCTGTCTTTAAAACTTAACATTCTCAAATAATTCTGTAATTAGACATTAACTTTTCCATAAGAAATTCTCTTCGAATTTTTTAGATAATTGAAGAAAGATGTGCGATTTCTGATGTATCTTATGTATATGTTGGTTAATCGATACCGAATACGAGTCATGTTGGAAGTTATATTGAATGTCTCATATATACATATAAGTAGAAATTAATAGTATATGAAAAAGTCTTTTTTATAGAAATATAGCGATAGCTTGCAGAAATAAGTTCTATAAAAATATCGCAAAACGAAAAATTTTGGTAACCAAGTTTTTCTTGTGCTAATCTTTTTCGTTTGTATAAGTCTCATGTTAGAAAACATGGACAGGATACAATCCCACCGATACTAGTTTTGCAAGAATTGGTATTGCAAAATAATGCTTCCAAAGAGAGCTGTGTGCTAAACATTTATTTAGCGACAATGATTTTTTTGTGATTACACTCGATTATGCGGAGATTTTATCGATATTCATAAATTTATTGTTAAGATATCAACACACCCTCAGAGTGATTTGAAAGATCTAGCGAGGAATGAACGAGGTTTAAGCGTTGAATGGTGTAAAGTGTAAAGGATCTTATTTGCGCTGTGTTACCTATTCTCTGAAAATATATTTTCTTCCTTACACACACGACACAAAAGCTTTTTAGGATAAAAATTCTGAAAACATATATTTAAAAATTTTGTCACATGAGTTTTTACATATTGGCGATAATGACTAAACACACATATCTGTCAAGAATTTCTATCATATTCGAAGCTCTCTCTCCCTTTCTCCTTTCGCTGTACATAATGCTAGCACGATACACAATTATATCTTGTACAAATGATCTTGTACAAGGAATGGATATATCAATGATACGTTAAACAAATGGCATGACGATTTTTCCTTTATTAGTATGGCAATTTAATACACAGATCAACCCAAATGCATATTCGAAGCAAAAAATCTTTACACAAATATTCATGCTATCGAATCACAGCTATTTTTCTGCAACCCGTATTTTTCGAAATCATTTTGCTACTGAAACACTTTTTCTAATTTACATGATATATGTCGAAATTATATCGATAAAGTGCTACGATCTCACTGAAAAAAATACTCTTATCATTTTGGGTAATTGACAATTCTGTGATAATAAGCACAAACACAGCTTTCCACTTTACAAGTTTTATTTTTTCTTAAATAACTTCCATATCTATTTCATTCTTATTTTTCTCTTCAGATTATTAAAAATATATTATATTATGCAAAAATTTCGATTGTATATTATCACAGAATTCATTTTCCCGAAGCATCTACTCTTATATTTAACGACGAATCGAGTAGTGAATTTGTATATTTACAAATCATTATTGAAGTAGACAATTAATTAATCAAGTGCAGTAAATATCTAGTAAGAGAATAAATCTAGTTAATTAGTATTATAATCTGTATTATAATCTATTCTAGTCTCAATCTATTCTATGTTTTTGTGAAATCTTATCAGGAAACCATTGAGAGAATTTGCGTCACATTATATAACTTATTAAATTCTTTCACGCGTATATATGTATATTATATTCGTCAAATTTTGAAATCTTCGAATTGAAAACTTTCGCGGTATGGAAGGCAAACTTACGTCCGACGTCTCTGATAGCTCTTTTATCTCTGCCACAGTATTGTGTATGATAAATCAGAAGGAGAGTTAATCGAACCTCAAATCCAACCGAACCTTGCAGCATTGCCGAAGGTAATTGAACTCTGTTGACCTTAATGTAAGAGAATAAACTGGCGCGATTAAATGGCTATCGTGCGACACGAATGAGAACTCTTTTGTCGTCCTGTCGCGTAACCAAATCTAATAAGTCATCTAAGCCAATCTAATAAATCATTTCCTTCGGCTGTATCTAAGGTTGGACAAAGGCTCGAACATTTTGTTTATATGGTTCATTACTGATTTTACACATCACACTATACGAAATAGCTGTATTTTCCTACACAATATGGTCGAACATCGATACGATGTAACATTCACTCTGATACTCCGTATTTGCGATGAATACACGACCGTTGTAATATAGTGTATATTTCTTGTAATCGGTTTATAGAGCGAGTGCCCTATACTGTGATTAAAAGTGTTTCTGTGTATGTGATGACTTGTAACGGGTTACAACACTGATTTCGATCAGGACAAGAATGATTTCTATTTGTATCGCGAACGATTGTCAAGTAAATATTACCGTACACAACCAGCAATGTATTTTTATTAATCTCACTAAACAATCTACACAACTCATTCTTTCAGGAACTATAAAAAACAGGACTAAAACAAATATAATTTTGATTAGGGTTCAAGTACCTAAGTATTGTATCAATCCAAATGTATCAGGTATCATTAAACAACAATCTTTATATTTATTTGTCACACAATGCAAACTATAACGATAATTATGAGGTACATTTTTTTCTTACCGTGTGAGCGTTGTATTCTTCAAGATTATATATCGATATTTTATTCTTTACTTTTATGAAACTATTCTATAATACTGTGTTTTGTCATATTTATCTAATATCTCTATAATACTTTTAATAAGATATACAACAGATATCAAACCTGTAGATGTTTTCCTCATTTCATTGAGGTAGTACGGGTAACGGAGAGTTTAGATCCGATTCTCTTTCGTGATTGCGTAGAGGACGATAGATTTCCATTTCTTTGCGAGAGATTCGCTAAATCCTTTGTGAATAATGGAGAATCACGTAACTGCGCGCTTCTGTTTTCTGCTGGCGAATCTGTAAACACATTTTTCTTATGTAAGCATATTCTTTTTATATATTGGTCGAACAGTTCGGTCGAACAAAACAGGTGGATTCTCAAGCGTTTAATGTCACTGAATGAAACATTCTGTATTTACCTAAAAACTTATTTATCAATGCCAAGTTTTTACGTTACATTTTTCAAGATTTTTCGACACGCGATGCTTAAAAACACATTTAGCATATGAAATGAGATATTTTTAAATACAGAATTTCGTAACGTATACGCTTGTTTGTTATTATTTGTTATATAAACGCTGTTTTTCTCAGAGAGAGAGAGACATAAATTCTTTATTGATTTATAGTATCAAAATTACTTGGCAAAAAAGTATGATTGGACATTATTTTTGATATTTTAATTCTTCAATTCATAATTTATAATTGATCTTTTAATTTATAATTGAGCTTTTAATTTATCATTCAAAATCCATCGATTCTCTTTGACATTGAAATAAATAATGTTTTTATTAGTTTTAATATCTATCATCGAGAATTTTTTTTTATGTTTTTGTATAATTATTTCCCGATTAAAAGACTTAGGATATTATCGAGAGGAGTTTGTATGATTTAGAAATAAAATCAAGGTTTGTTAAAGTCAATATACATATATTTGATCCGTCTTTTTATCGACGTACCATTCTTCTCAGACAAATCACCGTCTCTTCTTCTTGTAGGTATTTTTAATCCCGAAATATTTGCTTTCCCTTTTATCGTATCATTGTTTCTTCGAATTTTCTTTGCTACAGATCCCTTTTCCAAAATTCTAACTTTTATGGAGATAGCTGACGATGTTTCCACGCATCGTCTGCACCGCCATACGAATCGAGGATCGTAAACATCAACGTCGATGACCGGAGGTTGATGGCACAGCGGATGATAAGCCTCTTGACACTCTTGGCACTCCAGCAAAATCAAAGGTCCCAGTTTTGCGCCGTTGCAAATCTTGGATTTTATATATCGCATACAGAGATGTACACAATTCGTAAATCAACAATGCGGCAGCTCGTGCAATCGCAACGATAAATAGTGTGTTATCTCACTATTAGTGTTTAAGTTATAAATTATAAACTGAATCGCGAAAGTTTAGTTGAGAAAAAAACCTTGCACACGGTCCCATCGGCAGGTCCTTCGTCGGGAATCGAGATCCTGGGAACGTTCTGGTCGTCGCAGCAATCCTCGTAATTGACCTCGTACACTTTTATGTCAGCCCTTTGATGGTTCGTGATGTTTTCCGTCATGTCAGATTCGAGAAGAGAAACGACTTCGGAACCGTCCCAGATCTCGTCTTTGATCGTTTTGACGCATCGCTCTGGGACATAGTCGCGTTTCTTTGAGATTCTCATCGAAGCGTTTGCGTCGTCGGTATTTTGCAAAAATCATACAAGCGTCCAGCATTCGACGAAGTTTCTCGGCACTATTCTCATCGGTCGAATGCAATAGCGCCAATGCGTTAAACAAATCCTCGTTGGCGTATGTATCGGACATGATCCTCTCGGGGTGCATTTCTTTAATCTGGATATTTCATATTGTACGAGTATCAATATTTGATGTACTGACCCTCGGGAATACCCTCGATATTAATTGTATTCTCAATTACTATTATGTATGTGTTAAAATATATGTAAATATAGTTCAGTAAAAAGAATAACACACGCGTAAAACCATGAAGGGAATTCAGAAAAGTATATAATAAACTCTGAAAGAGAGAGAGAGAGAGAGCAAATAACGTGCTTTATTTTTTTGAATTCTTTGAAATACTTTTTTTTTTTCATCCAAGGGGGAGAGATTTTGCTCCGGTATTGTGACTGAAGGTTAACAGATCTTTGAGACGTTTCAAATGTCTCGAACTTAACATTGTTAACTCACGTACGACGATCTGTTCTCGACGAATTAAGGGCCGGTCATGCACGAAGGAGTATAAGCGGCACAAGTGGTCTTCCGGACTGGTAACAATCTTGGGAATTGTGCGGGCCAGGACGTTCTACGGATTTAGATATGCGAATAGTATCCCGGGACCCGGGACGGACGTTCGTCGTGAAATGTGCCGAAGGAAGGTGGCCGGCATTTATCGGGCTCGATCATCGACTCGCCGCTTGTATATCGACGGAATCGCATCGACGACGCACCATTGTTCTCGTGACTGTTTGCTAATAGAATCCAACGCTTATGGTCGTCGTTCTCTCGGGGATCGGATACTGGACATTGAATATTCAACAAACGATGTTACCGGAATATTGACGTGAACGCGTGATCATCACACACGGCCCGCTCTCTAATTCAAAGAAAATCTGACGCAAGTTGCGATTCTCGCGTTACGTATCATACGGAATCTTTAAATAGGCTTATGAAGCGAGTAATTAGAAATTATGTAAAAGTTTTGTGCAGAGAAACCTATTAAAATAATATTGATTTCCGTAAAAATTAAAAAAAAATATATCTTTATACATCCAATATATCACATATATTTTTTAGTTTGATATTTCTGTTATATATAATATATTGCAATTGTTTCTTTTATTTTCTATTCTTATATATTTACATTGGTTATTAAAGATATTAATCACGTAAACAAAAAAATATTTTATTTAATAATTATTATAATAATTAAAAACATCTACAAATGCGAATTCTTTTTTATTCGATAATAATTGAATAAAATTAAAGACGATTTTTTTTTTTTACATTAGAATAATTTTCCTGGCATCTGTGTTCGCGGATCTTTGTAAAATACGAAGACTCCCCGCCCTTCTTTCCTTCAACATCAGCTTTTCTTATACTCGCGGCTCTTGTATTCGCGTGGCGCGCTTTTTCAAGGGCTCTATTAATAAGCTCGTACGCTC